AAGGTCCCCCGTAAGGCCCGGCCAAAAAATGTGCCTGAAAAGCCTGCCTCACAATGTAATATTAAAGCCCAACCAATAGCTAGAAAATTTATTTTAAAAAATATTGGTTCTCTAGAGAGAGAAAGAGATATTGGATTTTTAGAGAGAGAAAGATAGATTGGGTTTTTAGAGAGAGAATAGGTTTTTAGAAAGAGTGTATTTTTAGACAGAAAAAGAGATTGATTTCTAGAGAAAGAAAGAGAGTTTGCGTTTCTAGAGAGAAATATAGACTAGATTTTTAAAAAGAGAAAAGATTAGGTTTCTAGATAGAGAAAGAGGGATTGGGTAGAGAGAGAAAAACTGGGCTTCTAGAGCGAGAAAATTGGATTTTTAGAGAGAGAAATAGATATTAGATTGCTAGAGAGAATAGGTTTTAGAGAGAACAATAAGATTGGGTTTCTAGAGAGATAATGTGTTTTTAAAGGAAGAGACATTGGGTTTCTATAGGGAGAACGGATTTTTAGAGAGAGAGATTGGGTTCCCATACAGAGAAAATAGGTTTTTAGAAAGAGTAAGAGAGATTGAATTTCTAGATAAAGAAAATAGGTGTTTAGAAAGAGAAAGAGAAATTGGATTTTTAGATAGAGAATGGGTTTTTAAGAGAGAGAGCAATTGTTTTTCTAGAGAAAATGAGTTTTTATAAAGACAGAGATTGAATTTCTACTGAGAGTGGGTTCATGAGAGAGATATAGATTGAGCTTTTAGAGAGAGAAAGAGAGATCGGGTTTCTAGAGAGAGAATATGAGTTTTAGAGAGAGAATGAGAGATTGAATTTCTAGAGAGAGACAATGGGTTTTTAGGGAGAAAGAGAGATTGGGGTTTAGAGAGAAAATGGGTTTTTAAATAGAGAAAGAGAATGGATTTCTTAAAAGAGATATTGGGTTTCTAAAGAGAGTGAGTGAAAGGTTTTCAAAGAGAAAAAGAGAGATAGGTTTTCTAGAGAGATGATAGGTTTTTAGAGAGAGAAAGATAAATTGGGTTTCTAGAGAGAATGGGGTTATAAAGAGAGAGAATGTGTTTCTAGATAGAGAGAATGGGTTTTTAAAGAGAGATATTGGGTTTCTAGAGAAAATGAATTTTTAGAGAGGAGATAACAGGTTTTTAGAAAGAGAAAGACAGATTAGATTTCTAGAGAGAGAGAATGGGTTTTTAAAGAGAGATCGAGTTTCTAGAGAGAGAATGTATTTTTAGAGAGAGAAAAATAGATTGAATTTTTAGAGGGAGTGGAATTTTAGAAAGAGAAAGACAGATTGGATTTCTAGAGCAAGAGAATAGGTTTTTAAAGAGAGAGAGAGATTGAGTTTCTAGAGTGAGACAACAGGTTTTTAGAGAGAAAGAGATTGGGATTTTATAGAGAGAGAATGTATTTTTAAAGAGAAAAAGAGAGGCTTTTTTGGACAGAGAGAGATTCAGTTCCTAGAAAAAGACTATGTTTTAGAGAGAGAAAGATATAGAGAATGGGTTTTGAAAGAGATTTGATTTTTAGAGAGAAAATGGATCTTTAGATAAAGAAAGAGATTGGATTTTTAGAGAAAGAGAATGGGTTTTCAAAGAAAGAAAGAGATATTGGGTTTCTAGAGAGAAAATATGGTTTTTTAGAGAGGGAAAGAGAGATTAGATTTTTAGAAAGTCCATAGGTTTTTAGAGAGAGAAAGTGAGATTAGATTTTTGGAGAGATTGGGTTTTTAAAGAGAGAATAAGAGAATAAGTTTTTAAAAAAGAGAAAGAGAGATTGGATTTGTAGAGACAGAATGGGCATTTAGAGAGAGCTTTTAAAAAGAAAGAGATTGGGTTTCTAGAGAGAATGAGCTTTTAGAGAAAAAAGATTGGATTTCTAAAGAGCAAATGAGTTTGAGAAAGAGAGAGGGTGATTGGAATTTTAGTGAGATTGGATTTCTTAACAATCATCTTATAATGAGTTTTTTTTTTTTATCTCGTATTCATTAGATAATTATCAGTGCCTTCTCAATAATATTTGTAATAGCAATTAAAAGTTAAAAATATACATTCCAGATTCTATAGTAGATTCCCGAATATTTACCAAACGAAAGAAAATAATTTCATATGAAATCTAATTTTAAGAAATTTATTTCCTAAAAACTTAATTTACTACAAGAAAACTATTTCACGCGAACCAAACGACGGATCATTTGAAACAAATATGAAGTTTTATTTTGTTAAGAATTGAGTAAGAATTTGGAAGAAAGGCGGATACGTAGTTTAGATTTACCGAATCGTAAGTTCGATGAGAAAAAAAAAGGGGCAAGTACGTTTGATGAGAACCACATCAAAATCTCAAATAAATACAAATAATCAATTTTTGAATAAAAATGAGGTTTTCCACAATCAATTTTGGGGGTTAAATGGATAACAATCCAAAACAAAATACAGCATAGACCTAAAAATCAATTTTGGGGATTAAAATGAATTTTATCCTGGTTTTTTCAACCGTATGGGGAGGCTCGCTTGTGTTGAGCGAGTCTCAGACTTGTACGCTGCGGTCCCAAGTCAACTCGGCTGAGTCATCTTTTCTAATCACTGTTCAAGAGTATGTCTTAGGAATTTGGATAGGCTGGTATTATACTGTCGATAGATGTGCATGGATCAGTGCGATCAAATTATTGCAAGATTCTTTCCGTGTGATCATAGTATCACTTGCACCCAATATGGTGTTCCAGCCAGAAGCAGTTAACCACTCAACCAGTATCATTTAGTTGGAACTAAAGAAACCTATATAGAAATTCCTGAAAATCATTTCACTTCTGTCTTGGTTTTCAATATCTACGTCTTTCTCCCTGTACAGCATTAAATAGTGAGTTATTTTTATTGCCAAAAATAAATAAAAAAATGGGGTCAATAAAATTCAGTGCTTGGTGAATACATTCATTTCCAAGAGAAGCTCAACAGAATTCAAAAGGCTTAGAACGTAAGAAATTGAGATAGTTAAGGGCAATACAGTCTTTTCATATTCATTTGAACCATTAATTGCACATGGCCATCATTGTGAAGGACCCCATGCCAGTCACCCTTTTAACCTCCAAGCATGTTCTAACTAGTTTATGGCACATTCATCATCTCGCTCATTTTATACCTTCCATTAAACCTCCCCATTTCCAAATTCCACCTACACAATCTTTCATCTTTCTCCCTACCACGAATTCCATTTCCTATATATATAGATACACATCAAAGATGTTCCATAAGAACACAGGAAAATATGCATGAATGACTGACCTTCAACTCTAAATAGCCTCTCCACAAAAGCAAATCAGTAGAAAGAAACAACTAATAACATTTTAAGGTAGCATATACTAAAATCTTGCCATGATAATAATCAGACAAAGAAACAACTAATTATATTACCGCGCAAGAAAGAAGATGGAATAACACCGAAAATTAAATGAACTGAACAATAACCATAAATTATCATAATCATAATTTACACAACTGCTTTTCAATCCACAAAAAGAAACAAGGCAAAACCTCTTCGAGAGGAAATCCTCCTTGCAAGCCTCAAAGACTACCTGCTTTCAACTCCCACTAACCTTATGTTAATCAAAGGAATCCGACTGACAAAGCTCAATCATGGTCATTCTTGATAAGAGAATTTCCTAACCCCAGGAGGCCATAAATTATATCTGATGCCTTAGCTGTTGCATGAAACCTTCCAAAAGCAATGCAAAATGGAGAATCACAAGCAAAAAGCGGCATCAGTACAAATCAAGACAGGTGTCAAATCAGGAATCGTGATGTATAATAGAAAGAGAAGCCCTTTTACAAGTATAAGTGATACCAGACATTTTCCTTCGACGTTCCATTTGTCTTCTAAAAATTAGAAGAGGAAGTGGGAGTTGCCTTTGATCACTGAATAATTGCCACTCCATAAAGTCTCGCGAATTATCTGCAAAACATGTCTAGCGACTCTGGGAACTAGTATCAAAATGATTGCCCACCCTAAGTGTCATGGAATTACCAATCAATGGTGGAAGCTCCATTTCCTCAATCAGTGTGGTCAGTTTTAAGTTTATTCAGCTGTCTGATCCTCTGAATGAAATCTCTCTCACAGCGATATCTGTTAATGGAGAAATTAAGGGGTACATGCAAATGTAGTGAAGCCTCTAAAGAATTATACTTTCCCGAATGCTCAATTTCTAACAACCTCAGCAATTTCAGAATGCAAATTATAAATATGCCCTCACTCCATCAGATTCAGTGTGTTAATGAAACAAGGTGAGTACGCACGAGGACATGTATCCAGCTTAGTAATGCAACTATAAGGAAGCTTTTTATTTCGCTTTCTTAAGTTCATTCCCTAGTTTTGAGTGTATAGAGCATGCCTAAACACTGAATATAGAGTGCAGATGGCTTTTCCTTTTCCCTTTTTGCCTGTTGTCTCTTGTTGTGGGGAAAGTTTTGAGTATATAGAGGATGCCTAAACACTGAAAATAGAGTGCAGATGGCTTTTCCTTTTCCCTTTTTGCCTGTTCTCTTGTTGTGGGGAGAGTTTTGAGTGCATAAAGGATGCCTAAACACTGAAAATAGAGTCCAGATGGCTTTTCCTTCACCCTTTTTGCCTATTGTCTCTCGTTGTGGGGAAAGATATGCATCAACAATATCAAAATAATTTACCCATTAGCCCTTTTTCTTTTGTCGTAGAGGGAGATGAAGGGAATGGTTCCCACCCAAACCTAAAAGATTAATTTTTTGCTGAGTAATAAAAGCATTAACATGGAAATATAGGAATACGTAGCTCGCATGCACCCACACATGCATGCACGCATACACACACAAGATAGTGCTGAGAAAATGTGGAAGAGGATACATGACAATAACTGATACAGCGAAGCATGTCAGGCCAACTGTGACATGCATGATCATTGTTGAGAAGAAGTTTTCACGATCAAACAATTTTCTTCTGGAAATATGTGTAGCTACACCTGATATAAACAGAACTGCAAACACTCCAGCTGAAGGCAAGCAATGACGAAAACCAAATGATGGAGAGTCCTGCTCACGACAATGTGTTAAAATGCCTAGTAACCAGAATGATTCAAGATTATAAAAACCTTGAAATAAATATAATGAACAGGTGGGTCCCGCTAAAGCAGTGTCGAACTTTCTTATTGAAAAAACTACAAATAAGAATCAAGTTGCTTACCCTAAAAAAGCGTTTGATGAAAAGTGTTGAATAGATAATCCTCAGCATCATATCTAGAATGGTGGTCAAGAACAACAAAGAATAGATTAAGGAGTATGAAGAACAAACAAAACATTCCAAGTAATGCTGACAAAATATACTCAAATATGCAGGGCAGAAAATTTATGTGCTCCCTCCAATGAGAGACCTGAGAATTCATAATGCATGCATACATCTCAATATCATGGTGTGCTCGAATTCTAAATCGGTATGTCAAGTCCAGTTGCATTGAAATAGATCTTAGTTCTAAGAAAATCATATATCATGAAACAACTGGACAACCTACTGAGAAACTATGCAAGCACCAAAAGGATTTCTTCCTATTCTAAACTAAAAATTATTATAAAGCATTCTACATGAAGCCAAATTTCGATAATCAAAACATGAAATAGAAAAACTACTTGCACTCTAACATGGTAGCAGAGCAGGAGTAAAACCCTGAATCCACCACAAACGAAGCAACAGACTAGAAAAGGGAACCAAGAAGAAATTCAGCAATTGGAAAAGGATAGAGCAGGATTTTCAGTTCACAGGCAATAGACAAAATTTGCAACAATATTCATGTTCCGTCCATGAGATCTGCCTCAATTCACAATAGACCAAAATACAGGACATGATTTGGAGATATTCGGTTCAAGCTTCCTCCAAGCGCGAACCTCTTTCTTACGGGAATCCGGCAAAAGATGATTTTCTCGATGGCCAATTTTGCCTGCCCAAAATAGAAGCGGGTAGAGGAAACGAGGAAGGAAGATTGCCAGGTCCTGTTGATTAGCGGCTACGGGTTCATACATGCATTGATCCAGTCGAAGAACCTGCCCCAGAGCTACTACTCCGGCTAGCTTCCTGCCCGCCCCTTCAAACAAACAAACATTTATTCTTCAAGTTGATTACTCTGACAGACAATGTTGGATTATAGATTAACATATTCAGGACTGCAACCCCATTGTGGTCGGTGAACTTTGATACTTATTTTTATAAATAATATGTTAATACTCTTTGGGATAATTGTGATCCAGGTTAATCGACCAAATATCCACCCCACCACCCCAACAAGACAAGACAACATCATTTGCTACAACATAAACATATCTAACCTACCTCTGAGGCTTTGACAGTACAAATTACATGTTGACCCCTGATAGAGCAGTTTACACTGCAACGACCAACCATTCACACCCACTCTCTTAAAGTTCCAAAATATTACGTTCTAACTAGGTTCTTATATACTTGTTTGGTAATGAGAAAACTACTATATATTCTATTATATTGGTAGTAGCTATGATCCAATGTCAACCTTTATTATAAAACTTCGGGGTGTCTTTCCCATGTTATTCATCTATGCAAAAACAAAAGTAGATAGCAACAATGCATGTTTACACAAAATGCAATTTTCTTCTCTAAAATGACAAGCATTAATGTGGTTATAAATAGCGCTCAAATAAAATATCATAGAGGCTATAAGGAAACTTCTCTCTTGCTTCCAGGGTGAATGCAACTTTACCAAAAATGATGGTGCATATTGGAACAACTCAGCACTAAGGAAAGCAACAAGAAATAAGAAAAAAATAATAAACAAAAAAGTACAAAAACAGATTCCAAACGAATACTTAAGGAGTTCGCAACAATTAGCCCAATTGCTCCAGCACTTTGAACCAACAGAATATTTAGGACTATATAAATGCCAGAGAATAGGACGAGTGATGCATTAGACCAAACAAGCTGTTGTTTAGTGCCAACGGCATGTAAAAGAGCTTCAGTTGTTCCTGGAAACAAAAAGAAGATAATGATATCAGTACTCAATAGGCTACAAGATTTGGCAATCAAGAAATGGAAAAAGTGATTCTTATGTTAGATCAAAACTCATTGCCATATACAAATGTCCTTCTGCATAAACTGGCAGGAGAAGTTAATTGTCAATGCATTATGTGAAACATGATCCTCCATCTTTCGGCCAACATTGTAATTGATTTAAAACTGGTTCGAACTATTTCTCAATAAGATGTCACTTGAATTCCAATTGAAAAACCATCATGGCATTTAGTTTCTACCCCACCATGCATTTCTGAGCCCCGTATCGTGGCCTTCTATTTTTCTCCTACTTTATGGTTTTTCATATTTTTCTGACATTTTTTAGAAAATTTAATTCTTGGACAATGAGTCTCCCAGAGTCAGCATGGCTCAAGGGCTCATTCTACTTAAGCGACGCCAAAGCACAGTCAAGTTTTAAAACCTTACATAAGGGTAAGTACTAACCAGAGAGCACCTTTTTATTGGATTTGGGTAAAACCAATATTTTATTTTCATTCTTTATCTTAATTAGTTTTCATTAACTAGTTGAGAAAACATGAGCCCTTATCTCATTAACAATTTTCAATAAGTTGGAGGCGGCCGCCTAGGCAGTGGGAGCGATCGGGCCGCCTAGGCGAGCACCCAGACCCAAAAACAGCCGGTGATTTTTTTTAAAAAAAAATTTGGATCCCCCACGCTTCCCCCCATTTTATTATATAAAAAATTGTATGTTTTATTATTTAATAAGCATTAAGAAAATATTAAACTAACTAATAAAATAATTATGCTTTATGAATCATACATCGAGAAAACACATCAAACATACAATTATTTAATAAGGAATTAAGAATTGCTTAATTATTAAACTAACTAATAAAATAATAATCCAAATGGACAAGGGAAAAGTTTATATAGAGCCAAGGCTCTAAACAATCAAATTGGAGCCAACCACAAAAATTTCACTAGAAGAGGTTGTTTTGATGTCCAAATATCCTCAAATTGATCATCTCGACATCAAGAATGGACGAGAAAAAAAATAGATTTCAAGTTTTGGAAATAATATATTTTGTAACACATTTTTGGACCATCAATTTTCAAGATTTTCAAGTTTTCATAGATATGTCGATCTACACTATTTTTTAAGCTTTAAACTTTAATAATAAAGATGACAATATATTTTAAGGCTATCACAAAAATTTCTAGTATTGAAACCATATTTCTCGACACTATTTGAAGGTAGGCTCTAATTTGATTGTTTAGAGCCTAGGCTCTATACAAACCGCACCCAATAGACAATAACATATCAAATATATATCACAAAGTATCAAAGAAAAAGATACAAACAGCAAAAAATAACATCATTCGACATTAAGGGAAAAAAAATACAAAACTTAATGAAAACTATTAAAATATACCAACCTTCTTGAAGTGGACTCGATTTCGGGCCAAACCAAAATGTTTGGGATCCCAAATCTCCTCTTATACAACCCTTATAAGCCTCAAAAGATTGGGCATAAATATCCTTTAATATCATGACCATTCGAGGATTTCAAAAAAACAACCGATCTCTCAAAAAATCTTCAAATCTAGTTTTTCTCAAGTTGTTTCTCACTCTAAAGTTTACTAAAATTGTTTTTGGGGACAAGAATGGCCCCCCAAACCCTTATCCCCCCTTTTAAGGAGGTAAAATGACATTTTTTGTCCCCTCTCGAAATTTTTTTCTGCCAAACTCTTGCAAGCCTCCTAGGCGGCCACCTTTTTCAGCCTTTTCGACTGCCTAATCGTCCGCCCGACCACCTAGGTAGGCGCCTAGTTCTGGCGCCCAATAGTGTCCTCCTTAAGAACGTCTAGGCGTTTTCTCCAAAAGGCCGCCTAGGCCGTTGGGCAAACGACTTTTTGGTCATTGCTCATTAATTAATATGGCATCCACGTAAATCCACATTTATTTTCTCATTTTTCCAGTAAGCTAAGGACAACTGATAGGACCAAATTTACATGTCTTTACACAGTCCCCAAGACTAGTTTGATGAAGTGGCTGACATATTGTATTTTAGGCACCTGCTGGTGTACACTACAAAATGGCAGGAAACCAATTGATTTACGTATAGCAGTTTGTGTCAACTAAAGAATGAACAATGATCAGTCCAATGACACATAGGAAGATCAATCATCATCATCATCGTCTGAGCCTTATCCCAACTATTGGGATAAGGTTCAGGATTGAAAAGATGCACACTTTACTTTGGCTGCCTACCTAGCACAGCCCTCCTCCTTTATCTGAGCTTGGGACCGGTCATTGGAGAGTTAAGATCAATAACATGCAAAAATAAAATAAAACAAATCTTGAGATTGGTAAAATTAGAGCTACACACTTTGGTAGACATAGTATAAGGTTTAAAAGCCAATAGCTTATTTCCTCCCATACAATGTCAGAAACATCCATGAACTCATTCTACTAATTTGAAATTTGCTGAGTTTAATATCAACAAAGATGAAACAATAGCAAATCTTTATTTCATGATATATTTCAATAAATTCAGGTTATAATCAATCAAAGCAGAGAAAATGTGAAAGCATACAAAGGTATTAAAAGGAGAATCATAGTACGAACCATTAACTGCCATGACAAGGACATACAGACAATAGCAGGCAAGAGCTTCAGAAGCTTCTCCATCACTCCATTTCCTCCCATACAATATTCTAATGAGAACATATGAGTAGCTCGGACCAAACGTCAACACAACAAGGCCTATAATTTAAACAACAAAAAAATCAGTACCCCATTGCAAGATGGGTCTGTGTGGTGGGAATGTTGCATGTAAGTATATACCATATATGTCATAGACTGGGCCATTCACCATATTATCCTCAACAATGGACAGTTGGAGACATTGTTTTAAAATGCGACCACATAGCACCTCATGTGGCCGTATCATGTGCTATGCAGCCTGAGAAGCATTGCCTCAGGCCGCATATGCCATATTTAGGAATGCGCCTGCATACATAGACAGCCCATGCTCGTGGGTGAAAATAATGCCCACAAGCATGGGCGTTGGATAATTTTCCTTCACAAAAAGGAGGGAAAGATTTTGGGGGGTACAAACCGCACCCCCCAAAACACATAAGACAGACATAAAAAACTGAAAAAAAAAATTTGGGAAATTTTTTTTTTTTTTTCAAAATCGTTGGATTGCTTTTGATCTTGGCTGGGTTATTGATTGGGATTGCTTTCGATTATTGAAGTTTGCAAATTTAAAGTTTGCAATTGCAATTATAGTTTATGAATGTTATGGTAATATGATGTCTAGTAATGTCTTCTAAATAGTTACTTTCAAGTTTCTAGTTTATACTATACTTTCTAATGTCTTCTATTAGGGGATTTAAAGTCTCTGATAGTTGATACTTTGATAGTTGATATTAGAGTTAATAAATAAATTAAATACCCAGTATCACATAAATCACCTCCATATTTTTTCTGTGCATTAACCTATTTTTGGAGATTTTTTTATTTATTGACTGCACCGGGGTGATGTGCCCACATCTGGACCGCATCGAACCACATCGCCCCCCCAATCGTATCTGATCCGCATCTCACATTTTAAAAAACACTAGTTGGATATGAGTTGTTATTCTTCCGAGGAACTTAAAAGCAGAAGGGTGGCTCAGCTTCACCATCCATTGACGAGAACAAAATTTTAAAACATTAGTATATATGTGTCGGGAATATCCTTAATAGTTTCATTGTAGTTTTGCAAAAGCTTGGAGACCACCTTGGCTCAACAAATGTAAGTAAAAAAACAGATGCAAATATGTACATATGCCGGCATACAAAGATACATGCACAAATTAACAGCTAGATGAACATCACAAATCCAATAATTATCTTAATATGAAAGACTGATCTTTAATATAACAAAAGAACCTCCAAGAGTTGTACACAAAGAATTATATCAACAGGCACACCTAATAAGATCACAAGCTTTAGTGCCAGCAGAAAGATATTCTCTAGGCCAAAGCTCTTAGTTGTAATGCGTCCTGCAATGCAGAGGGGGAAAAAAAAGGAGTTTAAAGATAGAACAGATCCATTTCTTGTGTCCCAAAATCAAATGCAATTTAGAAAGGATGCGAAATGGTAGAATGGAGACATTTGCCTCAATTCTTACACTTTCATTTCATGACCCACCATAAGAGCAATGAACAATATACATGTGTTCAAAAATGTAAAAGAGGAAAACTAAACCATATTACACACTTTCCTGATCAAAAAGGATCAAATAATTTGAAATATAAAATCATCTCTATTATTGATAGCTTTGGACTGACATTTTTGTGAAAATGGAAAATAAATAAAAAAACCTTAGTTATTGCAACTTAAATATAACAATAACATGACTTAGACATTGCTGCCACTTTAACAATTCACAAGTTTCTAAAATAACCATTCAAGACATCACCATGCTGAAATTGATATGTGAAGAAGAAATCGCAAAAAGTATCCTAAATACAATTGACTCCCTCTTAGAAACCCCAGGTGAACAATTTTTTTTCCTTTTTTTTGGCTCAACAAGAATGATTCCCCCATAAGAACGTAAACAAATCTAACCTGAAGCAAACTTTGCAAATATTGTGAAGGAACTTTCTTCAAAAGGCTGAAGCACTGATCTCACAACCAAACTACCTGAACATCAGCAAAAAGTCAATCCAAGAACTGAGATGCTCAAGAAACTTGAAGGCATAAATCGAAAAAGGGATTCGTGATCAAGAGAGTAATACATAACACGACAAACCAATTACTTTTGATTACTTCTCTGTGAGAGCAGTAATTGAAAAATATTCCATTTGTATTTTAAGGGCATTTAAGAAAACAGATACCTGCCTAGTTTGTCTACAAGGCCATATACGCCCTGGTTATAAGGAGTATCGAAAAGTACAATAATGAGCTTCTCCCCTTCCTGAAGGACCAATTTTTGGAAGGACTGGAATGTGAACAGGAAAGACATCAGCAAAAGCTGCCGGTCATACGTCTTTTCTTCCCATACTCTGCACCAGATATGGATAAATAAGAGCTAAGCATTAAAAAATTTGTATTTTCCATTTCCAATAAAAAAAATATAAAAAATCTATGCATTCTAGATGGGAAGAAAACTCAGCTTTGATAATGTACCAGTAAAGTAAGAAAGGTAATTACACCTGAACTGGAAAATTTGCCAAAAGGGGAACTTTAATCAAACAGAAGTGCATTTGTTAAAATGAAAGCTCTAATAGATCAAAATCTGACCTGAGAGGGAAAAGGAAGCCAGGTGTGATAAAATTCTGATTTTGGAATATGTATAAGCTAAGAAAATATCCCCAGTAGCCTACAAACAAGGAAGCCCCATATGCAACTTGCGATAAAGCAAAGACCAACTCTTTCCCCTGCAAGGTATATAAATGAGAACACTAATTTGTTACTATCATGTCTATTGACAGAAGAGATGGTATGGTATTTCGACTACAAACAATGTATTTCAAAATTTGTTAAAAACAAACAATATACTTCAACAATGCATATAATAAATCAAGTAAATGAGATATCAATATAGTCCAGAAGATTGTTGAATGTTTGTTCATGTAAACTGAAGATTCACCATGTCAGAATCAACATACATCATAAAAACACAATGTAAAACTGTAAAACTTTATCTGGATAGCCATATAAACAATGTGATAGTCCTCCTTGGTAAGATTAACTCACGTGGTTCAGACATAATACAATTTGATCAAGTTCTGTAAAGCGAAGATCACAAGAAGACAAATAAAAGCTACTAAAATCATATCCCATGCATGAACATGACAAGAGTGCTCAAGCACTCTAGTTTGTCAACAGCGTCATTCCAACTGTTCCGCTATGTTTGCTCAAGAAGAGCTATCCAAGAATGCTTCGAAATTCTTATGTCTTCATAAATAACGCTTTGTTTGTCAACAGCATCATTCCACCTCTTACACCATCAGTGCAGCACTTCAGTACAAGTAAAACAGGAAAGAAAAGATCTCCTAATATCTTTTCTTCCTATTGCAAAATAGAGGCTAAAAATGGCATTTTCAATACCCTCGGAATTGCAAAAAAAAAATGGCAACAATGGACCATTAACCACCATAGCATCCTCAACTCTATTGGGTCTTTATTTTTTGCAAAGGAACTCCTTACCAAAAATATCACCAAGACAACCTCCATCATCGGCTTCATTATCGTGGCACCTTGTATAATAAGATGCTGATGAAACCACCCAAGATAGGAAACAATAGTAGTTAGGGTTTTGCCCCAATCTCAACCTTAACAAGAGCTCTCCCTCTTAAGGTCTACTTTCTCTATCTGTAGAATGGCTTATAAAGCCCCACTAAAAGTGGTTTTTACAACAGCCATAAATGCCCTTGACAATGAGAGATATACCATTGGGGGTGATTTTAGATACTAACCTAACAATCTCTACCTTGATATAAAATTACACCCTCCCCTTGCCAATCATTGTTGGGTTTTGTGGCCTTTAAAGGCCTAAAGAGCTTGTAAATATGATGATATATAGTGGAATATGCATTTCAGTGAAAATGTATGTGTTGACTGACAATGGGTTGGACATGTGATACTACCAAGAAAATCCTATAATGGGTCATCCCTTGTTGAGGTTAGTAAGGTGCCTAGGGATGATATTTGTAGGCCAGGAGAACTGTGTGATCTCCTTTGTATGATTAAAGGCCTATGAGAGCAAGAGTCAGCCTCTACAAACTTCCGCACGACATGTACAGGCATTACTAAGAAAGAGCCCCCTATGCACTGTGGTTACAAGTGTTAGACTTGCTCTTAAAGGGGGAACTGAAATCCACATTCCAGGATCATGGTCCCACTATTTATAGTCCAACTTTGACAAGCCACCCATGCGCCCCTGCATTGAAACTGTGGGTCATGGGTCCTTGTTGGGTTAGAGAAGAAAAAAAGTAGTGGATCACGATTCTAGGATCAAGTGGAGTGCCCTTAATGTCGTTAATTTTGACACCATTGGTACCAGTCCACTTCTAAAATATTTTGTTTTGGTATTAGAAATGTTCTTAGGACTTTTATAATTTTTTTCAGAATTTTAAAATTTTATTTCTGCTGTAACATTCATTGAAAGCGCAGTTTTGAGATTTACAGAACTTGGAAGGGCACATGTCGGGACCAAAGATCCAGCCCCCACATGTGTATGCCACCCATGTGTGGGGTTGTGCTTATGTGGGGACCATAAGATGGCCATAGGGAGGCATGCCCCCCTTATTTGTTTTATTATTCCACTTTAAGTTAGCGTTTAGTTAGTTAGGGAATCTTTTAAAATTGAAATAGATTTTATTCCTATTCAAATTGAGAGTTTTTGTTTTTAAAATATTATCTTTGACTTCCTATAGATTTTGGACAATCTAGATAATACTAAAAGTGGTTATAATTCATATTTAAATAGGAATTGGATTTGGGTCAAATTATAAAGGGATAAAGTTCTCATTTTCCACCCAAAATCATAATGGCTGATTTGTGGGATGGATGGCTCAGATTGAATCTCTCTCACCCCACAGATTTCCTAAATATCTTAATGGTCAAGCTGGAAAATACGATAAGGCATACCTAGATGGAATCCTACTTCAAGTGGGACATATATTTGTATCTATTTAAACAAGATTTGAACCCCTCTCTCGTGACAAGCTCTCTCTCTCTCACGCCAGGGAAAATCTCTCTTTTTCTCCATGCCCCAATTTTCTCTCCCTCTTTCTTCTTTATCCACACCACAATATTCTCTCTCAAAATTTTAATCACGCTACTCTCCTCTTTGCACCACAAGGTGATGCCCCTCAAAAAGAAAAGAAAAGGAGGTGGTGTGTGAAACCCTAGGTTGGAACTTTGCTAGTTTTGAAGAAGAGAAGTACATTCAGGTAAGAGAGAAGTAAACCCTCAAGGCTTGCCCTACTTTGTTCCTATAGGGTTTCTACAAACCTTAGTAGAGTTCTTGAGCTCTCTAAAGCTAAAGGGTATTGCCTAAGAAGCTTCCCTATCTCAGAAATCCCAACAAGACCTAAAGGACTAAAAGTACGATAACGGTCGAGGAATTGGATGTAGGGTGTATCAAAACTGTGGGGGTAACTCCATGCATCTTCTAGTAAGTCTTCCCAGTAGATTTAATTATTTTTTCAGTAATATTTCAGTGAATTTTCAAGAACATATATTGTACTCAAAACCATAGTGGAAGAATGTTTATTGCTCCTAGATGTTTTTTATTTGCTTTGGCAATGAAAGTAAAGATCCTAAGTTGTATCTGGGGTATTAATTTTGATTTACAGCAGTATATAGTGGCCTATGTAAATTTTGGTACATCAAATAAAAGGAAAAATAATTTTTTTTTTAAATTTAATACCTTAAGTTCTACATAGCCACTCCTTTCAATCATACCCAGTTATTATTTTATCATAGAACCTAGAGAACTTAGCCAACTTCATAAACTCTTTAGCCAAGTAACCTCTATGAACACACCTTACTCATTTTCCTTCATGCTTACCCTTCTCATGCAAATTCCACCTACTTCAACTCTTCACTCTTGAGTTCTTAAGACTTCATACATGCTTTAGGTGCAACCTTTCCCACACACCTACAAGGACAATCGGCGGTTGACCTACTCACGAAGATCCCTTACATAAGACATTCCTATGAAGCTTGTGCATATGCTCCATGCCTTGGCAATACCTACCCATACTTTTCAAATATCGAATTACCCCATTCCATTCCAATCCAAAATTTCTCTCTTAGGCTAGTCAGAAGCCAACCTAAGAAAATTACAAACAAATGCAATGACAAAATTTATACTAACCAATGGAATAATCAAAATTAACAATAGAGTAGAGTACAATACTCTCTAGTCATATCAGCCCTTAACCAAATTTTATGCATCAAGTTGCAAGAAATTCAAAGGAGGCATCTAGCTTCACTTCTTTTCATGAAAGCCCCAAGGCCTCCTCCAACTTGTCAAATATCCTTATCAAGACCTTACTTTGCACCATCAAGATCTTCCATTGCCAAACTTCACCTTACCAAGTGAATTTGTAACCTTTCATAACTAGAGAAGAAAGTGAAATTGGACTCTTTTCAAATCTGACACATGCCTCACATTTTCAAAAGTTTGAACCGTTCCATCACACATCCTAGTGCGAACCGAACCTATACCGATTGTCTTACTCATTGACTTGTCTTATTGACGCCAATTTGCCCGCACATGGATTATATGCATCAAAACAAGATCTATGCGGACACATATAATGTGTGGCTCCCCTATCAAGAACCCAACTTTGTAAGTCCAAGGGATTGCATCCCACCGTCAACACCCAATCTTCAACATAACTACATGTTGATTCTTAAACTTGTATGCTTCATTTTTGGCTCCACCTTGCCATTCCATTCCTGAATTGGAACCTTGTGAGAAACGTATGCTTTTTCCTTCACAACAACTTTTCTTTATGTGGCAGGCCTGTCACAAAATCAATAGCAACTTTTGTCACCCCTTCGACTTTGATAAAAAATTAACCATGCCACTTGAAGAATTAATTGATGAAAAAACCACATTACTAACCAGCATCTTTTCTCCTACCATATTTCGCACAAGCTTTCTAGCTTTGCCCATAAATCCTCTGCCATCTTATCCTGCTATATTAAGTAGTATTTCATCAGCTAAATACAAGCAAATGGTCGCAAGCGTCTTTGTATAGAATTATTGTCAATTACCACCACCCTTCATATTATCAGGTTTCTTTGATTTTCCTCGTAATGCTTTATATTGACCTTGTAGGCTGTAGCACTAATGTATCATGAACTCTTATTTTTCAAAAAACTCAAAATATTTCCTCCCATCAAACTATTCTACTTTATATTCATAACTGGCCATTTTGCAAATTACTACACACTTCTCTTGAGCTCTAATACCACTTGTTGGAAATTGAGACTTACTTCCCCTTGCTGTGTTGAACCCCTCACAACAACAAATTTGATACCTCAAAACTAAGTCACCTTCAATGGAAAGCTGATTTTAAGAAACCTAAACACCCAAAAACATTAATTGGTACAATAAATTTGGAAATACTTATATGAACCAAGAGAAGAAAAATAGGAAAAAATGGCTCTCCTAAGGGATTCTTCCCGGCTGGTAGAGGCCTCTTCCAAGGCGGCCCGTTATCGCCTTTCTTATTTGCGATTGTGGCTGAGGTTTTCAGTACCTCTTGAGACTTTACCAAGCTGGTCATTTTGTGTGGTTTCTGCTCGGCCCCTTTGTTACCATGTTACGATATGCAAACGATACCCCTGTCTTCTGTGATTCTACTACCTCCCATCTGGATACCCTTCGGGTTTTCCTTAAGTGCTTCGAAATGGCAACAGGGTTTAAGGTAAACCTGGGCAAATCTAAAATGATGGGTGTATGCTGTGAACCATCGACGGTCCTCTTTCTCGCTAATAGATGGGGTTGCTCAATGGAGTACCTGACGTCCGCTTATCTCGGACTTCGACCCTGCCTCGGCATGCCTCATCTTACCCAATGGAGCCACATTCTCAATAAGTTTGATAAGAGGTTTACAGGTTAGGAGGCAGATTTTTGTCCAAGGCAGGGAGACTCACTTTGATCAAAGCCACACTGGTTAAAACCCCGGTGCATCAGATGTCTCTCTTTCTCATCCTGGCCTTGGTGGCCACTAGACTGGAGTGCACAATGAGGAATTTTTTCTGGGGAGGGGTGCATGGTAATAAGTTTCATCTCGTCTCCTGGGATAAGTGGGCCTTCCAAAATCTCAAGGGGGTTTGGGAATCAGAGGCCTCAGAAATCACAATAAGACCCTTGTGGGAAAATGATGGAGGCTCGCGACCCAACCGAGACACCTCTGGACAGAGGTCATTAGACACAAATATTGTTTTGGGAATAGCCATTGGACCCCAGAATGCAAAACTAGTGGCCAGATTGCAGGTTTCTGGAGGTTCATCCTTCAGACTCGAGAGATGTTTCTCAGCCACATTGATTTCTGCCCTAGGGAGGGGACAAGGGTCAAATTTCGGACTGACACATGGATCAGCCATACCCCGCCTTAGAGATCAGTTTCCCAATCTTTTCCATCTAGCCTAAGATGGCCAATCCTCAATGGCCAAAAATTTCAGTTTCACCAGAACCCTCAGAACTTGGAGTCCTATGTTCAAGAGACCCATCTTCAGTCATGAGCTTCAAGACCTTACTTCTTTGGCAGCAAGCTTACACTCGATCTTCCTTCCTTCCTCTAGGGAGCATATGATTATTTGGATCCCCTCCTCCTCGGGTATATTCTCGGTGGCTTCCCTTTTCAGCACCATTACTGCCCCTCCCAACCCCTCGGGCCCACTTCCTGCCTTAGCCTCCAAGGCCTGGAACCCTTTATTCCTCCAAGAGTACAGGTGTTGTGCTGGATAGCGTTGCATGAAAGATTGTTGATTGTGGATCAGCTCCAAAGAAGAGGGGTCCAACTCACACCTTCTCCACTGCGTTTTCTCTCAAGCAATTTGGAGGTCCACCCTGAGCTTATTCAACTAGGTATGGGTTACCCCCTCCAATATCCCTTATTTGTTTCTAGCGTGTCTCTCTCCTCCTTGGCCTAAGGCAAGCAGGCTTCTTTCAGAAGCTGCGCTCTCAGCAACTATTTGGGTGTTGTGGACAGAGAGAAATCATAGAATCTTTCGGGGTGCGAGGTCATCAGTCGAACAGTTGGCAGAGAAAATTGGGAACCTAGTAGTTTTTTGAGCCTCCAATCACTCTCTTTTCAAGTTTTCTTCCTCCATAGACTTCTAGAGCTATTGGTCCAACTTATTACTTTTAACAAACCTCAAAACCTCGAGGGCCTCGTGGTGGAGACCACCCGAAGAGGGAGCGATGAACTTAACTTCAATGGTTGCTCTCTTGGCAACCCTGGTCCCTGAGGAATTGGGGATTTGTATCGCTCTAATGATGGCAGCACCTTGCTGACCTTTTCGCTACCTATCGGTTTTACAGACTCCACTCTTGCTGAGGCTCTGGCCCTTTTGGAGGGCCTTCACAAGTTGGCCACACTAAATGTCACAACATCGTGGTGGAAGGGGACACCAAAAAATTATTCACTGGGCATCCAATCGCTCATAATGCCTTGCCACCTCAACAACATTTTTGACGAGCTTATGCATTTAACGAGCAACTATAGGATCACTTGGCGCCATGCATTCAGAGAAGCAAATTCAGAAGCTGACAGTTTGGTCAAAGAAGGGGCTCTCCTTAGTTCTTCCTCCTAGGATTTTCAGCCTTTTGTTTGCCTTCTCTTCCCTTTTTTGCAGCGGGTTTTCTCCTTTTTTTCGTCCCTATTGGGCTTGTATAGCGTGACCATTTCGGTCACCACCTTTTGTAAATTCTATAGTTGTGAAATACAATTATAGTGAACTTCAATAAAAAAAAAAAAGAAAAATAGGAAAACTCCAAACCACCACAGCACACTACAAACCATAATCCAAACATCATCAACACAAATACGTGGTTCGCCCTAATTAGGCTATATCCATGGGCAATTGGCAAGGAAACAATTATCATGGAAGAATTACAAAATTGGTTGAATACAAGGGTTACCTCACAATAGGCAAAGCACTAATAGTTCGCTTTCCACTAGCACAAAAGAATCACCGAACCAACCTCCATTATCGACTCATCATTGTGGCTCCACCTACAATGGGAAATGCCGATGAAACCACCCAAAATAGCACAAAGTAGCAGGATAGGGTTTTGCCCCAATCTTAACCTCTACAAGAACTCCCTCTCAAGATCTACTTTCTCTCACGATGAAATGGCTTATAAAGCCCTGATAAAGTGGTTTTTACAATGACCATAAATGCCCTTAACAATGAATGAAATACCACGAGGGGTGTCTGGATCACCAATCCAACAATGTATTGTTAGGTTTGGTGGTAGCCAGAGTATCAACACTCCTAAATTTTCTTAAAAATGTTAAGGGTATTGCGGTCATTGAGTGAAAGGAAAAAGGGGCTTTCTAAGGGACCAAGAAAGAAACCGTAATTATCTCTATATAAGGGGTTAAGAAAAATATAATACTCATCCTTTTAAGGTCACCCCTTTGGGGTCATGAGAAGGGATATCCAAGAAGGAAATGTGTCTCTATGAGAGACATGGCCCCCTAGAGAGAGATAGTATTGCAATGAGGTCTAGGGTTGGTTAAACTTCTACTCTGAAGAGAGAAAGTCTCTTAGTTGCGCTCGACATTCTCTTTCACGTAGCACTATAGAGTTTGGAAAGATGAGGTTGGTATTACTCGACCGAGAAAGCAGGTTTAGAAAGAAAGTTTGATAAGGTTTTTTGTTGATGTTTAGAAAGAGGTATATTTCTTATAACCCAAAACTGTAGTCTTCATTAAGATACTTCTCCCCAAGACTGCAGACATAGCCCTACGGATTGAACCACATAAATCTTTGTCTTGTTGTGGTGTGTTTTTGCTTTTAGTCTTTTTTTTTTATCCAATTTGTGGTTGTACTAATCTACTTGCAATTAGACAACTACATGCACAATCTTGAGTGGGATCCTGTTATTTGGGTTCAATATGGCATGCGCTAATATTGTTCCCAAATGTCATTATTATTCTTAAGAGTTGTGAAGCTCATCATGAGTACAGTAATAATAATGTTCATATTTCAAATCAATATATTTTTGCAATAATTACTCAACAAATAAAACCACAAATATTACCAACAAGAAGGTTGCATCATGATAAACATTTATTAATCAAATTGGACGATTTCAATGGACCAAAAGAAAAAAACCAAGTTGGAGTAATTCACCTCATTGGTCTGATTAATGATGAGAAAGTATGTTGTCATGCATCGTAAAGTTGTTGCTGCAGTCTCAACCTTAAGTCTTAATCCGAAAAGAAGCATGTTTTGAGCAAGAATGTATAAAGGTTCAGCCAGAATCTCCAAAATGCACGCAAAACCTTTGAAATACAAGAAAATATGACACTAAATTCATCCATAACTAAGAAAACACAGGAAATCAAGATTTGATTGTCAATTCATGGGTACTTAATGTACTGCTTTTTCTTTTTCCTTTCTATTTTCCTTTTTTTTTTTGGGAACTAACTTAAAGGATATATTTATGCCAAACACAACAATAAGCAATAAACGCTTTACCTAAAAGGTGGGTTAAATTTTAATCCTCATAAGTGAGATTGAATTTTTGTGATGTGCAAGAGAAACAAGCCACATGGCAATGCACGTGGTAAACTATAGCACTTCATCAAAACCATACCCACATCTAGAAACTTCATACGTAAATTGAGCAAAAAAAAGTCGATTTGGCAGACAATCTTATCTAAATAATTATCATCATCATCACTATCAACCGAGCCTTATACCAACTATTTGGGATCAGCTACACAAACTCATTCCGCTCTATCAAGGGCCATACCCTCAATCAAGCATTGGTTTAAGATTCATGAAAAGCTATGGCAAAGTTTTATGCTAGCTGCCCACCTAACACAACCCTCCTTTCACCTGGCTTGGGACCGGCATCACTGACTTGGGACCAGCCATAACAGAGTTAATCCTATCTTAATGATTATATTTTTTAAATTCACTCTTTATAGGATTCTTTAGAAAATAGAGAATGAATCCAATATAGCAGGTTCTACTGAAGCATTTCTATAAGCAAAAGCATCATCTTACAAGGAAAGACCTCATTGGACACTTTAACCGACATATCAAGGTAATAACCGTGCGTATCTTTACATGCAATCCTTAAAAAAATGTAGTCATAAACTGTAACTATCATAACAAAGAAGTCTACCTTTTTGGGGAATAGAGAGAAAACATGTTTTCTTTTCTTGTAGTCTTGCAAAGAGTTTTCAATAGCATTTCAGAACAACTAGGTTACGATAACAGTTTACCACAGCAAATATTTTGTGGTGGACAAAGGCATGAAGCCCATGAATCTTAAATGGGTGAAAGAAAAAACCAGCATTGGTGCTAAAAAAAACTTCGGACCAAACTGGCCCAAAGGTTAAAGTTTGTCACCATTCTCCAGTAGGACAGAATCCTTGAATTACTCACCTTCAGTAGCCTTACCTAGATAACTTCCGAGATGCTGTCACAATGAGACACTAAAAACAAAAGAGAGACCACACTGCTCATATGGAGAGGAACCACAATGCTTGTATGATTTCACTTTCAAGTTTCAAAATAACATAAATAAGAAATTTACCCCTGCACTCTAACGTGCAAAATATTATGAAAATACTGTAAAACTTTTAAGAGGTTTAGCGTCACCATACTACCATGAATGAGAACAGCTTGTGCATATTTTCCAGAAAGGTTGAGGCTTTGCCACCATAAAACAAAAGAACATGCTGCAATTGTTAGAAGAAAACCAATTGGGACAGTTATCCATGCTACAGCTAAGAGTTTTGAACCATTTTCTTCCATAGACCCCTCATCCCTGTAATTTAAGTGAACAAAAACTTTCAGATGGTATCAAATATATACAAAATATGAAATACAGTACAACAGTACAAAAATGATACACATCAAAATTTCCTTAAAGGAGAGCTCTTAGACCTTTACTAACATGATGCAAGAAACATGAAGATCACAATAACATCATAAGAAAGCACCAAGGAAAGCTATAAATTTATAGGTTGGCACCCTTGAAGATCTATCAAGGATATGATACAAGTTTCTCATGATTCATTTAAATTCCAATCAGCTTCAACTCTTCTAATTCAGATAAATAATACCATTAGTGTTTTATAGTTATATATAATCTTCAAAATGCACTCACATAAATGCGCAAGAGCAGTAAAGATTACTACGGTAATTCATCAGTTCAAATAATTAAATATAATAAGCCTCACAGACATCACATTCAAAAATTCACAGACATCAAATAACAGAAGTTCACAGAATAACTGTGTAAGGCATGCTTGAAATAAAGCATTACAAACTAATATAAATAAGGAAACAATGCGGAGCAGCATAAGGGTTTGGAAAACATGAAATCTTTAATGAAGATACTTAGACTTGGTAAACATAAAGTCACTGAACTCATCTACTAAAACAAGCTAAGTTTCATATTAGTATTCTAGTTAGATTTTATTACCAGAGTTCTGTCCTCATGCAAGCCCGTCGAAAGCCCTCACGACTGAGGAATAAAATTGTCGTAACCAAAAGATGAAATTGTATTGCATAAAGCTGTATCAAACATGAAACTTATTAGCATAAAATTCAAGACAAACAATTCAAATACCATTTAATATATCAGTCCATAAAAATATCAAATTCTCATGATTCAATCAACAATTGTTATAAATTCTTTCCTGTTAACAGTGGCTAAAAAAAAAGAGAATAATTTGTACACTATTGCAGCATTAATCACTAAACAGAAGCAACCAAACAGTTACCGCATAGTCCACCTCTGTAAGTTGCCTGGCAATCAGCAAATTAAGAAGAAACGATAGTGCCCGAGATATAACCTGCGATGCTGATCCAAAGAAAAGGCCTCAAAAGAAATGATTAACCATGCCAGCTCAAAAATCAGAAATTCCAGCTAAGTCGTTACAGAGAGAGAGAGAGAGAGGAATACCGATGAGGTAGAAGAATGTGTGAATTAGAGCAAAGCCACCATCTCGCTTATCCGTGTCCATCTCGCTGGTTGATCGCAACCACTATTAACCCTAAAAACCTAGAGGGGGGGAAAGGATTAGAACCCTCAAGCCCAACTGAAACTGTACTACAAAATTAATAGAGAACCAGAAGGTACTTCACAAAGAAAGAGAACAACTATGATTCGAACCCTCAATTCCTATTAAAAAGTTTAAAAATCAAAACCTCAGGGTACAATCAAATATTAAAATAAAAAATAAAAAAAAAATCACCAAGTGTGCGTTTGATAATTTCCCTAGGATTCTCTCTGCTGCTAACTTTCGGAATCCAGGAAGAAAGTGAAAATTGGTAACCTAAAGGTTGGGAACCCTATTTGATAAACTGTGGTGCTATTATTTTCACCTGTTTGGTAGTGGAAAAGCAAGAAACAACCTGTTTTAACTGTTCAATGTGTATTTTATTGATTTGATGCGCAAAATGTATATTTTGAATAAGATTTTCTTGCTACAACTCATCTAATGCATTTCTTACAATGTATGATTAAAATTGAAATTTAATCTCATATCCATGTAACTTAAGAGAGAAAATAAAAATATCAAACTTCAACCACACAAGTACAACAGAAAAGATAAGTGCATAACCATATCAAAAGTTCACCACGAAGGCCTTCTGAGACTCGAGGCATCACAATATTCCCTTACAACTCGAGGTAAAAGATATGAACATATATGGAGAACAATCTGACTTCGTACAATTCCATGTAATCCACTATGGATCATTCCATGAAAATACTTGCATGAAAACATCCATTCAAAATCAATTACGGATCCTTCTAATACTTTTAGGCCAAAACTTTCAGAAATGCATATCTTATAAAATGTAATGGTTGAGATTGAAGTTTGTTCTTATATCGTACAATGTTCATTGAACATTTAAGTCCCAAAAAACAGAAAGAGCATATCGACAACTGGAAGCGAAACACCAACTCTAATCCAAAGAATGAAATTAACACAATAATTTCTCCTAGAAACCAAACAAAAGGAGAACAAATTTCAATCGAACCACAAAGTCCACCTATAGCAATTCTGCATAACAACAGCAATAATTTGCAACAAAAATTATGGAACAAAATAATTGACCGATCAACTTATCCATAGCAGAAATTTCAAAAGAAGTGCATAGAAAAAATGAGCAATAATGATGAATAAATCATGGATAAACTGAATAAGATATTCATGGAAGAATCCTAAGATGTGAAAAATTACAGAATTAACAAAGAAATCAAACAATAAACAGATGAATAACGTATCAACGAGGTTGCCAATTATTAGCAGATCATGAAAAACCAGAATCAGATCACACCAAAACATGATCGAATGCCACCTCAAAAACAAATTAACAAAAGAATGGCACATAAAACGAGGCAAATGAACATCACCTTGAAAGAGGCAAAAAAGAATCACACCTCACAAGACAGTGCAAAAAAAAAAAATTACCTATATGAACAAGACCATTCATGCCATTCATGAATGAACGGCATACCATTCAATACAACAGTTGAACTTACTTCAAAAAAAACATGTCATTCATGGTTAAAGACCAAAAATGCAGAAAATTTGAAGAAAAAAATATGGAACTAAACAACAAACCTGTGAATGATTCTTCAGTTAAATGAGTAGAATAAACCAACTTGACCCTGTTAAAGTTGGGTATTGATATTCCGTATAATCTCTTTAACAGAAAAACTGTATATTAGATTTGGGTATTCTCTAATGCAAAACCATAGTTAACACAAAAACCCCATTAAACATCTAGAGAGGTATGAATGAAACCTCCAAGCACAATGTCGAGAGAGAGAGACCAAAATCATCTCAAAGTTCTAGAGACCCATTTGAAGAATCAATTATATCCATAGACAACACTAAAGGAGCCAGTCTCTCCCCTGTTTTCTCAGTTATCATTCGCACTCAAAATATTTCAAGAAGGTCAGAGACTTTCCCATGTTTTCTCTATTATCAAACGCACCCAAAATGTTTGAGCAGAAGGCACTATGACCCCTTGAAATTTTCGGAAGGCAATTTTTCGTGAAAATTTCGGAAGGCAATCAACGGGGGATCCAGTGGCTTATAAAACTGTTTCAGATTTAAAAACAAATGTTTGTTTTTTCTAGTGCCCCTCGCACAAATAAAAAAGAGAGATATGAAAAGGGTGTGGTTACCTTAAACTATCTAATTAAGGTGCACCTCCAAAATTTATCATAACATGTATTTTTTGAGTTAAAAATTCCTAATTTATATCTAATTATAAAATTCCTAATTTATATCTAATTATAAAATTTTAAACTCTAAAAATAGTTAAAATCAAGTAGATCTATAAACATATGAAAATCTTGAAAATAGACTGTCTAGATAATGTGTTGCAAGATGCTTTATTTCTGACTCAAATTTTTTATTTTTTATTGTTTTTTTCATATCATACATCTCAATGTCGAGATGGTCAATTAGAGGGCTTTTCAACATTAAAATAACCTTTTTCGATGGATTTTTGAAGTGCATCTGTATTTCTATATTTTTAAGGTTGCAACCTTATATAAACTTTTCCCATTAGATTAATTATTTAATATTTTATTTATTTTATTTAACTTCAAAAAATCATTAGAATTGAGATGATTGTGGAGTTGGAATGTTGAAAATAGTTAAGTTATTAAATAGTTGATAATATTTGACATGTTAGCTTTGTAGCACAAAAGTAAATTACACTTAAAAAAAGCCACCACAAAAGGCTATTCTGACATTGAAAATCTCTCAAATTGAATATCTCAAACTTTGAGATGTATGGATGTAAAAAAAAGATATCTAGGCATAAAAATAGTATATATTCTAATATATTTTTTAGACTAACCATTTTTAATATTTTGAACTTTTGAAGTGTTTGCCAACCCTAAATAGTTGGGGATATGAGAATGAACTATTGAAGTGTTTATACACATGTTCAATCTGCACCATTCTTTTAGCTTTAAATATTATAATTAAGGACAAAAATAGATTTTTCAAGCCATCATATGAGTTTTCAACTCCAAAACTGCATATTCCAGTAAGATTTCAAAGAAGCAATTGTTTAAAGTTGAAGCTTTATGTAAACAATATCTTTTAATAAACTTCTCTTTAAAAAAATCAGAAACAATTTATCATAGATATCTAATCTCCATAAACAAATATTCAATATCCCCAAACCAATTTTTTGTTGGCTGCAATAATTGTTGAACTCACTTCATGGGCTCATTGTGCTAACGACAATACTTGTTGGGGTTTTGCTGAGTGCATTTTTGAACTCATTAATTCTTGTCTTGCCTTCCTAAATAGGCATCTTGGTCACTGAGTCTAAACATACTCTTTCTTTGATCTCAAGGATCTTTAAGAAGCAGCATCAAGATCGATTAGTCATGCATGGCAAATCAAACTGAACATATTACAGGTCAATTATAGTACTAAAGAAAAGGAATATGTATGATTGAAGACTTCTACGCTCTAATTTGAGATCAAAGAAACTTCACTGGGCCTTGAGATCGAAAATTGGAACTATGCACAACTCAAACACAATTGCTTGAAAGAAGGACAAAACAAGAAAAATCGAGTCCCAAAAATAGTGCATATTATAATACATAATCCGGATCATCCATTTTCAATGTTGTTAAGTACATGTAGATATCTCTATCTGCACCAACTTTAGCTCTTTAAATATCACAATTAATAATAAAATTAGATTTTTAAGCCATCGCATGAGCTTCCACCACCGGAATTGCATCTTTCAGTAGGATCCGAGATGCGTTTTACTTTAATTGCTTAAAGTTGATGTTTTTATGTCTTTATCAAAGAATCCCTAACAATTTCTCACAAATATCCAATCTTCATGAACAAATATTCAACATCCCTGTATCGCTGCACAATAAAAAATGCAAATAGCCCAAGGTTTGTGTCGTTGGAAGTTGCTATTGAGGTAAAAATGGGAACGGGAGGTTGTTGGAGCCATAAAAACTTTAGTTGAACAAACCTAAAAATTCTTCTTTGTAAGTCCCTAGCTTTTGTAACCTATATTCCCCATTATATTAATTTTTAGTGATTTATTGTCACTAGAAATCTATATGTAGTCATTATTGGTGTTCTAAAAGATGAATTGATGGGTGGATTATTGCCCATCAATTGATCCCAATGGGCCAGATCAGGGATCCGGCATAGAGAGAGATTTGAATCATCATCATTATTCAGTGAGGTCATAAGCCCTTATATATTTTCTCACTCGATAGTTTGCATAATTTTGTATATCTTTTTTGATTTTATAAATAATTACTATAATAATTTTCTTCCATTCATCTATTTTTGTTCTCAACATCTTGTTGAACAGCTTAGTCAACTAGTTAATGTTGATCTCCCCCATGCACTTCTAAACTTCTATACCATCTGGTCTTAAAGCATTTCCCAACTTCATCTTCTTTAAATATTATTTCACTTCTGATATCCTAACCCTACAAATGTATCTATGTCCTCTGCCCTCATTTATGCCAACAGTTCTTTTTACCACTTTGTTCCCATTGTGTTCATCATTTAATAATTTTTTAAAATAAACTCTCCACCTTTCATTGACCTCTTCATCTTTCACCAAGACCCTTTGATCATTACTCTTAATGCACTTAATATAGTTTAAATCCTTACATTTTTTCTATCTAATTTTTGCTAATTTAAAGGCAAAAAAAACTTTAAGTGAAAACATTGTATGTCATTTATATTGTTATTATAATACTGCCATAATATTGTTCATCTCCCAAAGGAGGTAGGTTCAATTCCCTCACATCCCTCTTAAACTTTTAATAAAAGTTAAATCTACCTTTAAATACAACCAAAGCTGGAGCTAGTTTGAAAACAAAGAGGGTCCGAGAATTTGAACCTCCAACCTTTATAATACAAGAAATATACCTGACATAAAACCTTCATGATATAAGAAATATACCTTATAAAGTATATAATAATATTTAATTGCCAATTCTGACCAAGAACCGGTACAATCATCAACAATATCATTCTCTCTTTTTTTGGGTAATTCAGTGGGGAAGACATGCCCCTACCGATTTTTTCATATAGATTAGGAAGTTAGTTTTTTTTAAGGTGTCAATAGGTGGTGTCAGCAGGATTGAAAACCACGGTGCTACCACCACGACCCAGTCCCTTTTCTAACAATATCCAATTTAAATTAGCGAATTTTGGAGTATTGGTTATTATATTACAAAATATGGGAATTTTAACCATAAGAATCCTAGTGTTGGCAGAAGATGTAACATCTTGTATACAACTTTAAGCTACGCAAAATGAATGTTGGTAGGATCATTTTGCACTCAAGTTCAAGCTATGTGCAAGAGAAAAAAAATTTCATCCAAGGCTTGAAACCTATACGCCACCCACCATGTTGTATGGTTTACATTTTGAAGTTGTACCAGCCTTCATGATCTGAAAGGCATTAAAATTCAGTTTGGAAGGTTCTTAATGCTTATACTTGGGCTTTTCCTTCTAGATCTATTAAAAGAAAGAAAGAAAGAAAAAAAAGAATTATTTGATATATTTTTCTATTATTAATTTGTGAGATTTATATTTTTTTGTTTTCTTTTTATTTGATATATTTTTCTATCATTAATTTGTGAGATTTATATTTTTCTTCTCTTTTTTTTTTTTTCTAATGTTAACTTTGGACCGCCTTAGATTACCTAAGCCTAGACACCCTTCTAATATAGTACCCAACATTTGAAAAAAACAGATTGGTGGCTTGGATCACCCGTTCGGAAAACCGGTCTGGCTCGGCGGATAGTGGTCTAACCAAGTGAACTAGAAAATAAAATAAACATAGAGAAAAAAAATTGAAAATAAAATAAAAAACCGAAAGGTGGGGCCGGTTCTTTGATAGAACCAACAAATTCTATCAAAAAATTAGCCAAAACCGGCCAGTTCATAAAAGGAACTCGCCCGGTTCTTGAAATTGTGGGGGAACTAGGCCGGCTTCTCAGGCTCCCCATCTGGATCGACCAGTACCTTCTCTACGTCCCAATTTGTTGCCCGTGTTCAAGAAAATGTTAAAATAATGGTACACTGGAGTTATCAGGGGCGAAACCCCTTCCTGCGTAATTACATGTTTATGCGCTTGCTAAAAAATAAAATTTAACGTATCTGATGTTCAAAAGATGTTATGGCAAAGTCTTAGAGCTTGGTTGAGGTATTGTTATCCCTCACAATTAACTACTTCAACACAATTAATCCATAATAATGAATTATCAGTAGTCTAGTAGTGTCTCACGTAAAATCTTGGAGGTGTTTTACAAAATCTTGGAGGTGTTTTACAAGCATGTTTATCTTTTTGAAGAGTTTACTTACTTATCCAAAGTAATTTGTTGAAGATTACATATTTTTAGCAAAAATAAATAAAAATAGTTGAAAATCACCAAAAAGTTAAATAATTAAACAATATGCTATATAATGGAAGTTATGTACCCAACAACTAACAAAATAATATCATGCAAAGTATATTAACTTCGAATAAGGTTGTCTACTCCTGATAATATTAACTGTCAACTAAATAGGATCAATAATTTACCCGGTTTGGATCCAACTGGTCGAATCTGGATCCAAATTTTGGATTCGAATAGTAATTTGGATTGAATCAAGGTACAGGTGGATCCGATTCAGATCTGTCGCAATTATTTATATATTATGTTAGGATTTAAGAACCATCTTAGATGCGGAAACAAGAATCTCAAAAGTTGGATCCCACCAAGATCGTGTACTTATCTAGCTAGAAACAAAATAGAAGAAAGCACGAGCCATAATACAAGAAATAAAGCATGAAACATACACACACCACAAGAACACATAGATTTATGTGGTTCACTCCAAAAGGGCTGCATCCATGGGCATAACAAATTGAAATCGACTATACCAATGAAATTTATATTACAAATTTTAAGAGATAGAGTTCCCTCTATAATCTTCGACAAAACTCAGTCGAGTAAGCTCTTTTAGACCCAGTCTCTCGATTGGCACCATCATCGATATCTCATCTCTATTCCACTGCTAAACCAAT